CTGCAGACCTCTGTGGTTCCATGGGTTTAATTTTTTTTATGTACCCTCTCAGTAAGCTGAAGCATTTGAAACTACTGGCTTCAGCCAGTCTCTGATGGGTCCCCAGGCCATGGCCAAGTGCTAAAATTGGTCCCCATTCTGACTAAGCCTAAGATAACAGGGGCCACCTCAAACCTCAACCTAGTACCTTCTAGCTACATTTCAGTCTCAATTAAGCAGGGTCCTCCCACCCCTCAGTCCTCCAGAGCTCCCTGCTGCCTATCATAACCCATATCGAAATGTCTCTGCCTGGCTATCAATGATCATGGAGCACAGTCAAGGACCTGGACTCAAAACTCATTTCCTCTCGAACTTGCTAACTTACTGTGTGACAAAGTGTAAGATTAGATATCTACACTAAGGTTCAATTTGATCTTCTATAAAATAGAGTAAATGCTTCCTCCTGTCCTGCATATTCCATAGGGCTGCTGGAATGGAGACTGCACACATAAATTTGCTTATTCTGAAAACTCTAGCATGCTATCCCAGCATTAGCTATAATCATTACCACACTGATCCAAGTCCTGTGGGGAAGATAAAATTTATGGGGAAAAAAGGTTTAAGTTCCTAAAAATGTCAATCAGAATCGAGGGAAGGAGAACTGAAAACATCCTAGAGCTGGTTTGGTCAGGGAGATTTTCTTGTTTCTTCTTTCTTTTCTTTTTGAGATGGGGTCTCACTTTGTTGCCACGCTGACCTTGAACTCCTGGGCCCAAGCAAACCTCTGCCTCAGCCTCCTGAGTAGCTGGGATTATAGGTGGTGTGCACTCCTGCACCCAGCAAACAGATTTTCTTGAGCTGTCAAAAGAGTAAAGCTCCATACAGGCATTTTAAAAGGGGCCTAGTCTGTTTATCAATCCCACACAGGTCCTGTCTGACCGCTAAGAGTCTGTCTTGAGTGGAGAAGAGCCAAACAAATAATATCAGGGGCATAAATTTAGAACCCAGCTCTGTTACTTCCTCACTAGGTGATCTCAGTCAAGTCACTAGGCCTCTAACTGTGCCTTTCTGTTCTTATGTAAAATGGAGCAAATTAGATTCCAACCTTATAGGTTTGTTGGATGGGAGGATGATGGGGAACCAGGTTACTAGTGGATCTATTGTTCAATAAACAGGTAATTCTCCAGCTCTTCTATAATTCTCCAGTCAAATAGTTCGCTAAAGAAAGCAGGAAAACCGTCTCCTCAATTGCTGCCCACATATCTTTAGTCCTCTGCTCCTCTCATCCTACTTGGAATGCCTTTTCTCACTGGCCCTGCCCCTATCAGATAACCAAACTTATCTTTATCCTTTGTGCCCGTCTTCTCTTAGAAGCCTTTACTGATAGTTTCAGCCCATATGATTCTTGCCTTTTCAAATAGCAATAATACCACCTAGTGTTTGTCAAGCCATTTACACTGGACCAAAAGTTCACCTCAAGCACCAGTTCACTGAATGTAGCTTCACAACCATCTTACTAAGCATGATCATCTCCACTTTACAAATAAAGAAACTTGCCCTTGTGGGTGTACTGATGCATGCATGTAATCCCAGCAGCTTGGGAGGCTGAGGCAGGAGAATCACAAATTCAAAGCCAGCCTCAGCAAGTTAGCAAGGTCCTAAGCAACTCAGTGAGATTGTCTCAAAATAAAAAAAATTTAAAAAGGGCTGGAGATGTGGCTAAGTGCACCTTGGTTCAATCTCTGGTACGAAAAACAAAAATTAAAAAAAAAAACAAACAACTTTTTTCCTTGAGGCACCAGATCACCAACATTTGTAAGAGGCAGAGTTCAGATTCAAACCTAGAGTCACCGCATTCCAAAACCTGGACCCTTAATCACTACATCATTCTACTTCCCATAGAACTCTTAAGTGGGTGTCCATCTAGATCATGCTTAATTCTACTCTGGCTTATTTACCTCCTAGATTAAGCATGAGACTGATCCAACTCCACCTTACTGCATATGGCCTGAAAAATGTCAGGACACAAAATAGCTTCAGACTCCATTCCACACTTCCTGGAAACTCTGAACATCAAAGTCTTCACTTGTAAAATGGGGACAAAAACACCTCTTTTAAAGGGTTGTTGTTGGGATTAAGATCATTTCATAAGTCAATGCCTTTAACTTCTGTTCTTGCAAACACTCCTTTTACACCTCTTTGTATTCTTTTCCTGAGCTCAGTCCCTTCAAGAAGCTGCTTCTGTTCTCCCCAATGTTGTTTCCCTGAGTTTTCTAAGTACTTTCCGTAACTCTCCTTTATTCCACTCAAAGCATAAAATCTAATATTTTCAAGTTTTTACCCACATCTACCTTCCCCTGGCAGAGTAGGTAGTTCCTGAAGGAAAGCGGACCTATTCTGCTCCTCTCGGAAAAGCTTCCAGCATGGGACAAGCCCAAAGTTCTGAGCTGGGTCTGCCCCAGGCCGGAACCCCTGGGTGGCAGCTTGGCTTCACTTTTCTGGGGCTCACCTGGCCTTAGCGCACAGGGCCTTGACTTCGCTCTCCTTGATGAGCTCGCAGCGCCGTAGCTGCTCGATCTGCCGGTCCAGGTCGCTGATCTCCGCCATGGCCCACCCCCCCGGCGCGGGTCAGAGTCGGGGCCACCGCCCCCTCCGCACCGCACAGGGGTCTCCTGGGAGAGAAGACCAGCCCGCGGATGAGTGTGTCCGTGCGGGGCACGGGGGGGGCGACTAGATTCTGGGGCTGGCCCCCCCGCCTCCCCTCACATCAGCCCCGGGATCCCCAGCGTCCCACCGCTCAGGCCGCACCCCCCCCACTAACTCCCGTCGAACCCCGCGGTCCCGCGCTAAGGACGGTGGCCTAGAGGGGCTTCAGACTATTACCGCCGCTGCGACTCTGGCTCGGGCTCTCGGACTCGCTTGCTTCCCTCCTTCCCTCCGCTTTGGGCCGCCGCCACCGCCGCTTCTACTTCCGGCCCCGCCGCGGAAGCAAAGGGAGGCCAGTTCCGGCGCGCGCCGGATGTGGCGTCATACACACGCCTCCCCTCTCCCTTGCCGCGCCCTGATCCCCACCGCTGGAGGCGGAGAATGGGAGAGCTGAAGGAAGTGGGCGGCTGCGGCTGCGGACTGGGCACCTGGGCGCTGCGAGGTGTTAGAGACGCAGACCAACCCCCTACCGTTACAGTAAGAAAACCAAGATGAAGCTGGGCTCTCGCTAGGCTGAATCACTTCATATTACAAATTTTTTGTTTACCCATTTCATCGTGCCTCCCCTTCTACAATCCTGGGGGCTGTTCGCTATTGCAGCTTCAGTGCTTAGGGTAAGTCTTGGCCCAGTAGACATTTATAAATATTCAGTGAAGGAAGAAATCCCAACCCATGTCTCTTCCCACTGCCCCAGAGAAATCTTTGTCGGGGAGGAGCTCCAAAGTTTGGGGCAGAAAGGATCGCGCCCTTCCCGCTCTAAGCCTGTGCCTCAGTCAGCATGACGTCCCTATTCCAAAATCAACCCCTGACACCATTCTATTGCCTGAACATTTTATTCCTTTTTTAAGAGGAGGAAACTGATTCAGAGAAGTTAAGTAACTTGGTTGTGGTTGCAGAGCTAAAAATTTGGAATCCAGAAAAGCTGTGTTCTCAGTTCTAGGTGTTTTTTTTTTCTCCTTTTTTCCTTAACTGCTTCTGGAACTCACATTGTTATAAAGATTAAAAAGACCAACACTCTCCAAACTGGCATTAAAACTCCTCTGCTTCCCTAGTCTTTTGCTGCAGGAAGAGGTAACTATTGATCTTTAAACAGTCTTTCCAGTCCCCTTGCCTTTATACATCATGCTGTCCTTAGTGTCATCTTCTACTGACCTTGTTTTCACTTGCTTTACTTCAGATTTTGTTTCCTCAGTTGAGTGAGGCCAAGAAGAGAAATGGCTCAAAGTTTTGAAGAGATGGATTTTGGTTTTTTTGGCTGGGGGGGGGGGCGCGGGGACACAACAGGGAGTACTGAGGATCAGACCCAGGGACATACACGTTAGGTAAGTGCTTTCCCACTGGGTAACACTTCCAGCCCAGGATTGGTTTGGTTTTGGATAAGCAGACAGAAAGGAGCGACTAAGTTTTTAAATTCCTAGAAGGTGGTAGATATCCAGTCAGTGCTATGTAGATCACTGTCGGAATTTTGTAGGATCAGGGAGATCAGAAAGGTCAAGATTTTTTTCTTGAGGGAAGCTTGGAATGGAAAGGATCTGCACCAGGAAAGGGTGGGAGTGAGGAGGTTGCAAGAAATATGTGAAGTGGCAGGACTACTCAGTTCCGTAGTTATGGCTAAGATCTGCAGCAGCTAGGAACTGGTCTAGTTTCTGCTACACCCAAGACTGGGTGATAGGACAGGATTCACAGCACGGCCTGGGGCTGAATGTGGGGCCCTCATTATGGCTTCTTGAAATGCAGCAGCTCAGTTCTTAACCTGGAACCTGAGCTCTGTAGTTCATTGTGTGTGTATTTGCATCCTCAAAGCACAGGTATGTGGGAGATTCCAGGTTTTTCAAGGCATTCTGTGGTCCAAAGAGGCCTAAGAAGCTATTTCTAAACCCATCTCCTGTTAAAATGAGGAAATAGAGCTCGATAGCATTGATTAGGAGATGGACATTAGATGTGTCCAACAGTGCATCTTGGGCAAGATAAGCATAAATTGGGAATATCAGCACCCATTTTCATAGTGGTGGCTACTTTTGTCATGGGGTCTTCTGTACCCTTGAGTGCAAGACTGTAGCCTTATAAGACTTAGGTGGTGACACCTGTAGTCCCCAACTCTGAACCTAGTTAGACAGGAAGAAAATTTGACAAGCTCTCAGCCTTTCTCAAAGCCCTGAGTAAGTAAAAAAACAGAGGAAGGCCCTACCCCACACCTTCTACCCTTTTCCTGCCCAGGACAGATCAACACAAAACTAGGGCTCTTTCCTCTTCTGTGCTCAGCCACCTCCCCTGGCCCACCCTGCCTTAGATGCCACAAGACACGGACAACAGACTCCCCCTTAAATAGTTGTTTATTGGCAGTGGGCTGGAAGGGGCGATGGAGTTAGCGCACACAAACACCACACACCAAAGTCACGAGGGAGGCAAGAGTGATGGGAAAGAGCCTGGAGCCCCATGTGGCCCCCTCTTGAAGAGTGAGTGTGAGCAGGGGCCTGGAGTGTTGAGGGGGCAGCCTGAGAATGCCTCAGCTTAGTAGGCATGGTTAGAGACGAAGAGGGACTCGCTGGCTGCAGCCCCGGCCTGACCACTTGGGGTGTACTTTCCTTGACAGGCGAGGCTGTTGGCCTAAGAGGGGAGAGGAGCCAGTGTGAGAAGGTCTCTTCTCAGAGTCCCTCCCATCCACCCAGACACACCCTGCCACCATCTGCCCCTGCCTTACCAGGGCTCGCTTGATGTACTCCTCCTGGGCGGTCTTCATGTTCTCCTTCTTCCCACCCCAGGCCTTCAGAGCAGAGGCCTGCAAGGCTCGGCCATAGGAGAAAGTCAGAGCCCATGGCTTCAGGAGGGGACACTTGTTGATGGCATTGAGATTGATAGATGCCTCCTCCTCACTCTGCCCTCCAGACAGAAAGGTGATTCCTGTAGAACAAGGGCCAAAATAGGGGTGGGGCTTTAGCCAGAGACCCAGGAAACAGGAAGAAGCCCTTAGACACTGCTCTGGAAAGCAGACCAGTTGGGCTCCAGGGTTGTAGGCACAGTTCATCTACCTCCGGGAGGCCAAGACAAGGGAGGTAGGCCTCACCGGGGACGGCAGGGGGCACTGTGCGGCGCAGTGCTGTGACAGTTGCCATGGCAATCTCTTCATGGGAGTACTTCTGGGTGCAGGCATGGCCTGGGGTGACCATGTTGGGCTTCAGCAAGGTGCCTTCCAGGTAAATGTGGTGGTCACTCAGAGCCTTGTAGACAGCAGCCAGAACCTAGAGGAGGGCAAAGTCAAAGTGGACAGGTAAGGTATGAGCCCAAGGTTTGGACTCTGCTGCCCATTCCACCACACCATCCCAGCTGAACAGACAGGCAACCTACCTTCTCAGTCACATACTGACAGCGCTTTAAGTCATGGTCCCCATCAGGAAGGATCTCAGGTTCCACAATGGGCACGATGCCATTCTGTCAGGGGAGGGACAGAGTAGCCACAAGGCCTCATCACCTAGAACCCCACCCACAGGTCCTCACAGCCATTGGCCAGGATCTTATCTTGATGATGATAGGAATGCATGGCATCAAAGCCCTCAGTAGATTACTGCTGACAGGCATCTCAGATCCACCCAGGCAATCCCTATTCTGCCCCTCTGCCTTACAGCATGTCCTCCCAGGGCCCAGCCTCATGTTCAGTGCATATTGGGAACAGCAACTTTGGGGGAGGTAGGTATCCTGGCAGATGGGGGACAAGCTAGCCCATACTGGGACCAAATGAGGTGGGAGGTGGCCTTTTGGGGACCTGCAGTCCCACCTGCTGGCAGATGCTGGCATAACGGGCCAGAACATTGGCATTTTCCATGATGGCAAGAGATGAGGGGGTGTGTTCCCCAATCTTCAGCACACAGCGCCACTTGGCAAAGTCAGCTCCATCCTTCTTATACTGGGCACAGCGCTCAGACAGCCCATCCAGCCCTGAAGAGAAAACGAAGGAGTCAGAGCATGATGGGAGAGGGAGGGATGCATCTCCACTCGCTGGCTGGCAGGGGAAAGATCCAAACAGTTCTCACCTTGGGTGGTGGTCTCGCCGTTTGTTCCCGCCAGGGGCACCACACCCTTATCTACCTGTTGGGATGGATGAGGGTAATGATCTCTAGTATCTTTTCCTCCTCCCTCAACCCCAACCTCACTTAATCTCTCACCGACCTCTCCAAGCTTGCCCATATTTTTACTTAGTTATAGCACCCAGACCTGTGAGGTGTGATGCATTGGAATATTTTTCCACAAGAATATTAATTGGATTGAGTGTCAGGACACCTGGGCTCTACCACTCACTAATGCCGAGCAAATGATTTTACCTCCCTGAACTTCTGGCTTTTCACCTGTAATGCCTTGCTTTTAGAATTATAAAGATTAAGAATGCCAGGACTGGGGTTGTGGCTCAGCGGTAGAGCACTCGCCTAGCACATGCGAGGCCCTAGGTTCGATTCTCAGCATTACATAAAAATAAACAGTACAACTAAAAAAAAAAAAAAAAAACCATTAAAAAAAAGAATGCCACTGTGGCTATAGTATCTGCCTAGCATGCAGGAAACTATGGGTTTGATCCCCAGCACCACACACACACAAACAAGTCCGAGTACACCATAAAGTCTGTAACCAAGGCTCCACCCTAGTCTTTAGACTCCCCAACTCAATATTCATCCCCTGTCCTATTAATCTGGATTCCTTTCCCTCACATTCATTCCCAAACTTAAATCCTGAGGCCCTGCTCCCTCACCTTGATGCCCACGACACCACCCTTGGATTTGATGACTTGGGGGAAGGAACGCCCATCATCCGCCTTCTGGTAGAGTGTCTCATGGAAGAGGATGACACCCCCAATGCAGGGATTCACACGGTCATCAGCAGTCAGCAGCAGCTGGCGGTAGAAGCGCCGATTCTCCTCAGTGTTCTCAGTGCCAATGGACTGCAGCCGCTTGGCAATGCTTCCTGGAAGGGAGCATCACATGGGAGAATAAAGAGATTGACCTGTCACTTCCAACCCTGGGCCCTCCTCCCACTCTTGTCTTGGGCCAGCACCGTACCCGTGGACTCATCTGCTGCCAGGATGCCCTTGCCCGGAGCCACAATGCGGCGAGCTATCTCAGACAGCTCCTTCTTCTGCTCCGGGGTCAGTGCTGGGTATTGATAGGGCATGGTGCTGGTGGTAGCAGGTTCCTGGGTAAAGGAGACAGATGGAGGTACAGTAGTTAGCTGGGACTTCTCATGGTCGCCCAGTGAAAGAGGCCCCTTTCTTGGAAGTCAGGGGAATCGATCCCTACCTCCCCTGCCCCACACCCTGGCAGGTCCTGGGGCACTTCCTGTCCCCAACTCTCCCCTACACCCGACTTCCCTATACTAGGCCTGCCTCCTCCTGTACCTTTCCTAACTCTGTCTGTTGCTGGGTTTGTTGCTGGGTTTGCTCCTGAGTTTGTTGCTGGGTGTTTCCCAGCTGAGAGTGGGGTTGCCCACTGGCAACTGGGGGAAAGGAAAAAGCCATAGCCAGGGACAGGCGGGTCATGTTGAAGCCGGCCCCTTCTGGCTTGCGCCTTGCCATGGGGTCACCTTGCCTAGAAACAAAACCGAACCGAAGTATTTTAGAATTTAAAGGTCATGAGTAGGGCAGAGGGCCCCAAATCTCATGTGAAAGGTCCCAGAGAAGGTAAAGATCTGTGCATCCAGCCACACCACGGGGG